TTATGAAGTTAGCTTAATGTCGTAGAAGGAGTAAATAAAGGACGTGAAGACAGGGTTGCAGCAACATTCCAAAAGAAAAGAACTTGCCCGACATAGAAAATCAGCTTTCGAAATCCCTGGGGTGTTCAAAATATAACCGCTAGCATCATTGAAAATCATGCACCCTCAGCCAAAAAGCAGGCCCCTATAGAAGATATTTCTTTGATTATTGTAATTTAGATATTGCTTGTAACAAAGAGGCAGTAATGGCTTGGAAATTTCATGGTGTTTGAGGCAATGAATCTCGGCCTAGTAATCTATAAGAATTTTCAAATACACATCTGCAGAGACATTTGAAAGCTGATATCTGAAGAAATTCTGTCTTTTCCTCCTCTCCTTCATTTAGCATATGGAGGATTATAGTTTGGAATTGTAAGTAGGGTGGATTTTACAAGTAGTACTGGCCAGAGTGGGCAATGAGAAATGAAAGTCTTGCCCATGATCTCAATGGTTACTACAAGGTGTGAAACTGTGTCAGACATAAATCAACTACACTGATAATAGAAGGATTGATGGTCTTTTCAAAAATGGTTGCATCACTCAGGCAGTGTGAGTTTTTTTTAAACTCTTGCTAATATTGCTAAATATTTTCTCAGACTGCAATTATAGATCTTTTATGTTTCTGTCATTTACATTATTTATATTCAGACAGTTATCCTCATCTTTGTTGTTGTTATCAATAGCCCAAATATAAATAATGTAAATAATGATAACTCCTCATCCCAGAAATTCAGACAAAATTTATCTTTTAGGCTTCACTTCCAACTCCATCCAGCATTTTGTGGAGTATGTTATTTCTTTGTAGCAAAAAGTTAAAATGACTAGTTATTAATTTGTAAAGAAAAGCTTAAAAGCCTTTTTTGGCATATTTTCTCAGTTAAAGAAAACTAATTATGTAAAGAATTTTTTTGTTTAAATTTAAAAACAATGAGGAAAAGTTAAAAATTAACTGACTTGGGCGCTCAGATAAAAATCACTAAAATTGATTGTCTATAAGATAAAGTTGTTATCCATCACTTTTTGTTCGATGGAGATTATTTCTTAGACGTTTGCCAAAAATGTCAAAGAAAATGTCTATTGGCGAGTGAAATGGCACGATTGAAATATTTGAAGAGAAGAGATTTTTTTTTTTTTAAATAAAGATTTGCACAAAATAGAGATTTAATCAGTTTCATTAAATTTGCATTTTCTTTGTTCACATTTCTTAGTCATAAAATGATCAATTTCTCTTGATCACTCATTCTGTGAACAACCAGAAAGGCAAAGTGAGAATTATAAACATTTCACTTACTCACAAGAACAGGCATGTTGGTTTAATGCATTCTTCAATTACAGATTATTGCAAGAAAAAGTTTAGGCATCTGAATGTTTATTTGTTTGTGTATTTTCTTTCTTTGAAAGGTTGATTCTGTTTCCTGATTGTATTATTATTATTATTAGCAGTAATACATACAGAAAATGAATTCCTTTATTTATTGTGCTTTTTTATTCCTCATTGCTGCCACTACGTTATTTGTGATTATATTAATTAATAATTACATTTTTTTTTTAATTATTTGCATTTATGATCATCAACAAAAATATTAACAAATTCAAATTTAATAGTCATTGACAAATGGCATGTTTAACGTATTTACAATAACTTGCATTGCAGTTTAAAAAGGAGGCAAATATTTAAGCTTTTTCTTCATAAATTGATTTCTTCTACAAGTAACTTTTAATAATTAATTGCAAGAAGTCAAAACATTATAAGCTATATCTTTTTTTTTCTTTTTTTTTTAATATAAAAGCAATATTATCACAGGTTTTTTCTCATCTTGCAGAGAAAAGGACATTATTGAATTAGGTATGGTTAAGGATGAGAAAAGTATGGAAGCTATTGAGCCCAGAAAATAAGTTGATGCATCAAACTATGGACTGAAAAAAAAATCAAAAAAATTTAACACCTAAGAGTATCTTGTAAAGCATGTATGAAAGAGTCAAATATAAATTTGCAGAAGACACACAAAAGAAAGAAAAAATATAATAGCAAGAAGCTTATGAAATGGTTTTGAGCTGATTAAAAGCAATTTCACCTAACTAATACATGTCATACAAGAAAGAAATCATTTTAAGTATTCTTATACCATTTATATATTTTAAAAAAGAGCAAGGAGGAAAAGAAAAAAAATAGGAAATAAATAAATGAACAAGTATCTTAGACAGCAAAACAATGTATTTTCAAAAGAACATTTCCCCCAACACACATGCTTGATACATAGTCTTACTTATTAAACAGCAAAAATTTTTTCTCAATCCTCAAAAGAATTTTTCTGTGAGTCAGTTTTTTGTTGTTGTTGTTGTTGTTTATATTCTTTTTTTTTAATTCTTTATCTTTCTTTTCCATCTTCTTGGTCTGAAGAAGAATTTTTTTTTTTTTTAGTGGGCATTGAAATGTACCCAAAGAAGCAATTAATTCCTGTCTTTCAAAGTTTATTGATTTTCTTTTATTTATTTATTCTTTTCAAGAAATCAGTCATCAGGAGAGAAAAAAAAAGTCAAAGGGTGTCAAAGGCTGAGCATTTTTTGTAAATGTTTATTGTTTGTCATCCTGATCACAAATATTGGAATATAAAGACAGAGAGAAGGATGAAGAGAATGAGAGACAGGACTTATAAAGGAGTGACAGTCATGATTGCAATGCTGATAACTTCTATATAGTTCTATTCCTTCAGTGACTGATAAGAGTCACCTAAGTAAGGTTAAGTAATTCAATATTTTTGTCAAAATCTTTTTCATCTTTTTTGTGCTTAACACAGTGTTTCAGCTAAAACATTCTTCAGTTGTTTCAAAGTGTATGTCACATCCTGTGGCCTTTAGAAGACACAAAATACTTTTCTTTACTTTCTTTTCTCGGAGAGTTCCCAAGACTACAGGATCTAACATAGACTTGAAGGAAGCTAAAAAAATATATCAGCCAAAACATTAAAAAGCAAGAAAAACAGTGATAAGTTTAAAAATTATTTAAACAACTTAAGAAAATAAAGGAAAGAACTATTTTTGTTCTTATAGATTTTAAACAATATTGCTTATTTAAAAAAAAAAAAAAACTCACTTGCTTATATTCTTTGGTCTCTGGATATTTACTTACTCTGCATACATATTAAATTACTAAAACATTGACAATTAAAAATGAATAGTTAGACAAAAAATTTATTTGAGATGTTAGACATTATCCATGTAATTATGAAGTCTAGGTTACTTTAATCTATACTTATTGATAAAAATGTTCACCAAATATGGACATTTTAATCAGTATTCCATTTTCATATCTTAGATGTTTTCTGGACTGAAATTCTTGAAAATCCTACATTGGATTATTTTTGTTTTTTTTTAAATAATGACCTAGAAATTCTTTCAAATATCAATTCCTATCAATTGCTTTGGTCAATAAGAAAAAAAAAAAAATTCCCCAATTTATGAAGACACAAAAATTTTCCCCACCTAAAAAAAAAAAAAAAGAAAAAAAAAATATATATATATATATCTCCAGATGATTTTCCTACTTTCTGAAGATCTAAACATTTTTTTTTTCCTTTTTCTTGGTCATTTTTGTGGGTGTCTGTTTTAATGGTCAACTCAATTTAAATTTCTTTCAGTTTTAGAATTTTTAATAGAAAAAATTCCACATAACTATCACTATTCATGCATATGGTATATCTGCAGACATCTAGCAATTCCTGCTTTTGGAGCACGAAGAGAATAATCAGAACAAGCGAGAGAGAGGAAGAGAGATAGAAAAAAAAGAAAAGACATAAAGAGGGGGGAAAAATTTAGAGGAAGGAGAAAAAAGTCAGAATTTTGGTTGGGCACTTCTGAGCTCTTGTAGTAACTTTATCTTACACCATATTTTGTACATAACAATTTCAGATCATGTTTATTTTTTTTTTAAACTGATTTGTGTGTGTGTGTAAGAGTTTTTATGTGGCTATTCAAGCAATATTTAGATAATTTTAATACATTTTTTTGGCATGCAGTTTTTCCTCTCAAAGCAAATTTTGCAAGCAAACCTTAAAATATTCATTTCATTCAACAACATTGTTTTTCTTAGTTTTCCTTTAAAATCTTTTTGGGAAAAATCCTCAGAGGAAACAAAAATTGAACAGAAATACTTATCAGACATTTTGACTTTCTACAGAAAAGAAAACCAAGATGAGTATCATTATTATTATTTTCATTAGTTCCTGCATGTTTCTACTGTAAGCAAGAACAATCTCTTGCACCAACACACAGAATAGTGTGAATGTGTTTCCATCGAAGAATATTGCACTTCCTAAAGATGGAGAAGTGAAAGGATTTTAATGTACAAAATGAATATTTTTTTCTTGTTACTTTTTCATTTGCAATGAATCTTTTTTTTTTTTTTAACTTTTTTTGAGAAGAGTTCCATTATGATATTTTTTTTTTTATTTTTATCAGGTTAAACAACAACAAAAAATATCAGGTTTTCAGAATTACAGACAATTTCAGCGATTTTTTTTTTTTTTTTTGCTTTTTTTTGCTTTTGTTTTGTTTCTGTATTTTTGTTGTTGTTGTTGTTGGTAATTGGTTAACGTCTCTCAACTTCATTATTTTGCATCTGTTTTAAAACCTCCAATTATCATGGGCAGAAAAACATTGGAAAGTTATTCACAAGAATGAATCCAAGCAGCAGCAGCAGCAGTTAAAAAAAAAAAGAAAGAAAGAAAGAAAATGAAAAAAAAAAACTAGTCAATGTGTTTTTTTTTTTTTTTTGGTATTTTTTTTTGTTTCACAAAGTTCAGAGGGCAGCCATGCACCAACAGCAACTGTTAACCTTTGACACAGCACAGTTTGGCGTGTTTTGTTGTTAATTTTTCCTTTTGACGGCACTGGTTTGCAACAGCAGCAGCAGCAGCAATGGAAAAAATGGGCTGAAATGCATTTCCAGCCGATTGAAAATATCACGCAACAGAAAGCAGGTCAAATGTTGATAACAGGGCAATCACGGTCAAAATGGACGACGACACTGTGAAACAGGATTCAGCCGCTCTATCTGTATATAAACCTTCTGAAAAAGAAGAAAATAAGTATTAAATCATTAACAATTAATATTAAAACAAAGTTTAGACCAAAGTAGTTAAGCAAGTTTGAAGGAATGTAATCAAACCAAAATATCACAAATCTCTCGCTGCTCTACACTATTTCCATGGAAGTGTTTGTTTTATTTATTTTTACAGTAAGGTTCACCCTTTACAAGACCTGGGGGCCACTCAAGGTAGAGGATTACATTAAGGAGTAGTATATACAGCTAGGAGGAGAAGATAATGGAAAACTCTAGACATGAACGGGTTAAGATTGTAGTGATTGGGGAAATATCCGCAGTGGTTCATGGAAAGAAACTGTTTGAGTGGAACTTACTTCTCACTGATGGAATACAGAAGGAATATGAGTGGTTTCCTAGTATGTAAGTGGCATGGCAGATCCTAGCTGTGAAGGTTATATATCATGGAACCAAAGAATGTAATTTGTCTTAGCACTTTCCATGTTAGTAGCAATAGAGCATTGAGAGATTTGCCTGTGTGAGAGAGGTTGGAAGGTGAAAAATAATTCTTCTCCAACAAGGACGTGGAGATGTTTTGAACTATCAAAAATGGAGAGTGAGGTCTGGGCAGCTCCCACCCAAATATGTACTCCATTTTCAGGCTGACCTGGCTCTTATAAAGGTAGAGGATAGCATGAGGAATCCGGTACTTACTGGAATGGTACAGGGAGCTGATTATTTTACCTAATTTCAGCAGTTCTAACCTTCATGGCTAAAACCCAACATGCCACTCTCATTTTAGTGAACCACTCTCATTTCCTTCATATCTACCTGATGAGATGTAAGTTTCACTTTCTTCCCACAAACCACTGCTTTGTGAAACTGACTCCCAAGAAGATTGTTCCCTCATCAATACAATCGAACTGTTCAAGTCTAAGGGTTAGCTGTTATCTTCCTCATGTATCCTCATAAACTGTGCCTCTTACTCTGTAACTCTCTACCTTGAGTGGCTCTTGGGCCTTGTACAGTATGAACATCACTGTAAATAAAAAATAACTATTTGAAAGAATTTCTTTGTTTTATAAAATCTCTCTCTCTAAAAATGTGTGCATGTGCATTTAAATATCTGAAAAGTTTTATAACATGACAGAAAATGTAACACTGAAGACACATTGGAATAGCAAAAGATACCTTCCAAAAGCTAAGCAAAATATTAAGAAATAATGCTTGTAGGAAATTTTGTTCACTGTACCATGCTAGACAATTTTTCTGTCAGCATTTATCTTACACTGTTATAAGTCTATCATACACCCATGCACTGAATACTGCTGCAACATCCAGTCTGGTGCTTCTGCTATGTTTTAATAGATTCTTGATAAAATACAAAGAAGAATTTGCAATGTTATCAGTCTGAACCTGGCATATTGGCTTCAGTCCCACCATCATAAATATAGAGCAATTTTTCACTCAAGGTAGAGCCTTACTGAATGAGGCTGTTGAAAATAAATAATAAAACTGAGACTTAGTGAGGATAAGATTGTAGTGATAAGGGAAGCATCTGATCGAGAGTCTGTTCCACCAAGTAGTTCTTGAGAAGAAGCTGCCTGAGAGGAATTTCATCCTTACTAATGGAATACAAAGGAGATAAAGATGGATCTTTGCTGTAAAGGTCTGAAATTGATGGAACTAAAGAATGTAGTTATTTAGAACATTTGTTATGAAAATAGTATTTGTAGGAAAGGGTTTGTATGGTGGAAAACAATTCATTACCCACAATGCCATGTAGAGACATTTGAACTCTGTCGAAACTCGAAAATGACAATTGAGCAGCTCCAGCCTAGATATGGCAGTCATATTTCATATTTGGTCTGATCTGACTCTTGTAATGCTAGAGAATGGCAGGAGGACTCAAATACTTTCTGAGCAGTATTTTTCTATCCTCTTCAGCAATGGATTATATATATATATATACATATATATATATATATATATATATACACACACACACACAGGGTTCGATGGGTAAATTGTTGCCATCCTATATTTTGTGCATTGTTTTTTATTTTGTCAGAAAACTCACTATGTTTGCCAACAGGGCTCTGCACCATGCCACACAAGCAGGAGAACCAAGTCATGGCTGTCAGACAATTTCTGTGATCACATCACCCTTTATATCTGGCCACCTAACTTCCTAGACTGCAACCCCCTTGATTATTATGTGTGGGGAACAGTTGAGCAAGAAACCCACAAAACTCCTTTCTAACACTAAAGATGAACTGAAGGCAAGGATTATGGCAGCATTCATCAATTTAAACAAGGAGACCATCCAGAGGAGTTGCAGGAGATTCTGAAATTGTCTGAAGTTTGTGGTTGAAATCAATAACAATTTTATTGAATAAATTTATTCTTTAGTATTTCAAGATATTTTTGTGTAATTTTGGTAAATATAGCTGTTAAAATGAGATGCCAGCATTATTTTCATTTTTGCGTAATTTAGACGACCATTTATCCATCGCACACTGTGTATTCCACTTGAGATTTGGGGCAACTTGAGTCTCAATAGATGTTTTGAATCAAGGATCCTCATGGAAAGTACAAGCTTTTATTGTGACAGCAGAACATTCTTGGTCCGCTTGGTGATGATAAAACATTGCTTGGTTTTGCACATATTGATGGTTACAAATCAGTTCCACGTCCACCAATATCCATTGAGTTGTTAGAGTTACGTCAGAGGAGAGATCAGTTGTAATCTGGATTTTTGGAAGTGCCCCCATTAATTACAGTATTCTCTGCTTAGATATTTATTAAAGATATATGTTCTTAGATCATTTATATAAAGCAGAAAGAGTGTAGGACAGAGGAGTTATTCAGTTATATGCAAAGGTGCATATAAGTTCAGACAGAATCATATAAAAGAAAATATTTTATGACAATTATGATGATATAACTTACAAATGAATACAACACAGATCCTGGCCTTGTTAGTAGATTATACTACTTTAGGTAAACTATCAAACATTGCTAACTTTAGAAAACTTTAAAGAACCGAAACAAAACTATGAGCATGTAAGACAACTGCAGTTACTTCTATTCACACTCACAAAAAAAAAAAAAACCGCTAATTATATTTCAATGTTGGAATAGTTTCAGCAGGCAATGTAGCATGAATTAACGATGATACATGTAAATGTATGCTTGTTGCCATCCTATATTTTTTGCATGTGCATTGTTTTTGATTTTGTCAGAAAACTCACAATGTTTGCCAACAGGACTCTGCACCATGCCACACAAGCAGGAGAACCAAGTCATGGCTGTCAGACAATTTCAGCGATTTTTTTTGTTCACTGTACCAGCCTATTATCCAATATTTATGGCATGCTGGTCCCACACTAATTATAGGAGGGAAGCAAAAAAGGTATGCTGGTCCAAACAATAATTTAATGCTGGTCCCAAAATTATGGCATTTCCCAATTTAAAGACAGCTACATTTACTGGAAAAAAGGCCCTAAAATTTTCTCTTTTATATCATACAAAAACAGAGTGAATACAATTTTTTTACTGGACACTGGAGCTGAATAAAGTGCAGCACTGCCAGACACATCCAACACTAAAATACTTCATGCTAAAAGCCGCTAATAGCATCAAAATTTCAGAATTAAAGTATGAATAATCAACTCTAGCCTACGCCTTGCATTTGCATAGAAATTTACCATTTTAGAAGTTTGGGAATCTATTTTGGGTACTGACTTTTGTCAAATATCTGTCAAAAAAAAAAAAAATCAAATTCTAATTGAAAGCAAAATGTTTTCTGGGGACATGTACCAAATCCCATCACACAAGCTCTAAAATTTACTGCTACTTTTTTATGCAGCTTAATTAAACCCTCAAAATATGCTTGGTCATCCCTTTTACATATGCTTTCTAAACCAAACATTTCAGATTGGTGTACATGTGGATATTTTTGTTGACAATGCTATAACTACTCTGGATAGATATCCACTTCCATACATCAATGACTTTACATGGCAAAACAATATTTTCTAAAAGAGATGTAATTAAGGTGTCCTATCAAATACCAATAGCTGAATATATATATATGTTCCTCATCATGTGATGCAACTCTTTCATATTGAAAACATAGACAAAAATAAAGATAAATGAAAGAAAATAAATAAAAATTCAAAAATAAAATGTATACATGAAGCATCATAGCAGTTACCAAAGTCGATCTGGTTCAACATTTAGATATAAATTTTGCCCTGTTTTTTTTATATTCCACAATATTCTATTATTACTATCAGCATTTTACATATATATATATATACATATTATTTTATTACTTAGTGGATAGTCATATTTGAGTAAACATACTATTTATTACTGTCCTTGGTATGATTGCTGGTCCAACAGCAACACCTCTGATCAGGACATATTGATGAGCGAAGAACCATCTCTTAATTGCTGGTGTTCCCAGATTCACCCTGACCTGGGGTGGTAGCACCTGTTAGGGTCCCAATTATGGGCAAATAGTTAACCCCTAAACTGGGGTTAAAACACTATGAAAGTGTAAAAATAGGTTTTAATATCAGAAATACTTTTTTGCAAAAAATTATTACCAGAAATACATTATTACTCTTTTGAAAAAAAAAAAATTACCAGCAATAAAAAAATTGTCGGCATTAAATAATCTATTGAGGCTGATATGCCATAAAACACAACAAACAAACTCTATTTATTAAACAGTATACGTATTTATTTTCATCTATTAACCTGAATATTTGAGAAATCTTAGAGAAAAATATGCACTCTCAGGTATATTTTTCTCTAAGATTTCTTGAATAATCAGACAGGTAGATAAAAATGAATAACATTATTTACATTATTCGGACTATTGTCCTCATCTTAGTCGCCATATTTATTACAATGTTTCGGTCGTTGTACGCTCCGGCTTTCTTCAGGTGGTCGAAATGTCAAACTAAACCCTTTATTTCACTCACTGGGGTAGACTGTTCTAGTTCCACGTGCCA